AGACCAGCTAACCTAGTGAGGACATCTTTAAACAAGGCTCAACAAGGACAGGGGACCAAAGTCCACAGGTAAATAAAAAACATGGAAACCCATGAGAAGGGTCAGAACCTTTTGGGAGCATAGGCCACAATGGCAGGGATAAGGGGGCACAACTTGCCTGGGAAGAACAGGCTGGGAAAAAAGGGCGGAGGTATTACCTTTAAAAGATGTACAGTTGGATTGAAGTTGAGACTGAAATAGGAGACAGACTCGTTGAAAGTCTCTGGGTAAGGATAAAATTGTTAAAAAACAAGAGAGATGTTGTAGTAAGGGTCTACTCACTAAGAAAAAGTGAAGGATGAGGCTTTAAAAAAAAATCATCTAAAGCACATGTCCTAATATTGATGGGGTACAAATATCCAGATATCTGTTGGGACAATAACGCAGCAGGGCACAGATTATGAAACAAATCCTTGCATAATGTACTGACACTTTTTTTTTATTGCAGAAGGATAAAGTTACTGGCAGAGAAGTTGTTCTAGATGTGATTTTGACAAATACAAGAATCAATAAAGACAAGGCAGAAACAGATGAATCCTGGAGATAAATAAGAATTTGAAAGTGGAAGGCCGCTTGGGTGAAAGAGACAATGATTGTAAGGAATGGTAGGTAGGAAAAGAACAAAATAAAGATAATGGATTTCAAGAAACGAAACGTAAGGAAATTCAGATCACGTGGGAAGTAAATCTAAGAGGAAAAACAGTTCAAGAGGGTCATGGTGGTTTTTCAAAGACACATTAATAGGGACACAAGAGAAAACTATCCCAGTGCATGGGAAAGACAGGAAGTATGGAAAGAGATCATCCTGGCTTAACCAGGAGATTTTTAATTATCTTAAACTCAAATAACAGTGCAACAAAATGTGGGAAATTGACAAATTACAAATGATGAATGTAATAAATAACACACATATGTAGGGACAAAATCAGAAAAAGGCACAAAGTGAGATTAAAATAACTATAGACAAGAAGCGTAGCAAGAAAACATTCTACAAATACAAACAAGCAAGAGGAAGACCAAGAACAGGACTGGGCTATTAATCTGTGGTTGTGGTGGGGGAACAACAACTGAAAATGGTAGAAATGCTAAAGGGTTTTTGTTCTGTTATCACCAAAAAGGTTTGTAGCAATTGGATATCTAACATAGTAAATGCCAGTGAAAATGAGGTAGGATTTGGGGCTAAAATATGTTGGTTAAATAAGATAAAAATTACTTAGACAAGTTAAAGGCCTTCCAGGCACCAGGATCTGATGAACTGCATCCTAAAATACTCAAGGACCTGACTGAGAAGACTGGTCTAGAATAATACTTAGTTCTACTATAAGTTCAGGGAACTAGACCAGATGACCTTGCAAGGTCCCTTCCAGTCCTAAGGTTCTATAAGTACCATAGCCAGGGTCACAGGTGCTGATAGAGGCTGCAGGTCAAAGCTGGGTACTCAGAGTCCAAGGATCCAGGGAGTGTCAGGAGGTGGAGACAAGCCTGGAACAAGTCAATAACAAAGCTGGAACTAAGTCAGAGAAGGGCAACGACAAGACTGGAATAAGTCTCGGGCAAGACTGGTAGTCTTGAGAGTCTGCAACACTAGGAGGCAGTGATTCCACTGAAAGTAGATTCCACACCAAGTAGCACAGACTGATTTGCAGCTCTGGCAGAGTTGGGGAGATAGGGTTCCATCTGACCCAAGCTCAGCTCAGAGATAGGTTGCTGCTGCATGCCTGAGAGCTGAGTCACTGCAGGTTCTGTTGTGGAGGCATACCTGAGTGATGGCTCACTATAGCCCTGTTGGAGGAGCAACTACTGAGAGTCTGGAGATACTTGTGCCTGTCCACATCTGCAAATTATATCTCTCCCCACACCTTTGACAATCCAAATCTGAGATAGTTTTTAGAGCGCATGGTAGGTATTACATCAAGTGTAGATCAATTTAGAAAGTTCTACCTATCCAAAGTGTTTGACTGTCACATTGAAGAACTAAAGGAACAACTCCTGTGAAGGAATTAGCATTGTGGCTGATGAATGTGGCTGGTGCAGAAGACAAGGTATGTACTTAACATTCTTGCCATCTCTGTCCCACCAAGCAGTCATAATGCAGGCAGTTCTGACACAAATGGAGACAACCTGGATTTTGTTACACTGTGAAGTTCTGGAAGTAGTCACTTCTAAAACCATCCACAAAGCAATATGGGAAACCGTTGAAAAATTTGCAACACCCTTTGATTGCAACACGGCACTTGTGAATAACAATGTTGTACATGAAAAAAGCTTGGGACTGAGGTTTGAAATCTTTGTTTTTAAATGCTGCACACTTTACATTCATGGCACATTTGCTTAACCTTGTGGGTAATCTGTGGAGAAAAAGACTTTTGAAAATAAATGAATTAGTTAAGGCTTCAAAAAGTGCTTTCACTGCCTGCCCTACCAGAAAAGTCCAGTTCTGCATGTTTGTAACAAAGAGGACTAGTCTTTCCCTCCCAACAACCCGCAAGACAACCAGATGGAAGACTTTCCATTGTTTACAGCCAAGCACTGAGGTACAACCGCATATGCTCCAACCCCTCAGACAGAGACCTACACCTACAAGACCTTCAACAAGCATTCTGTAAACTGCGATACCCACACGAGGAAGTGAGGAGACAGATTGACAGAGCCAGACGTGTACCCAGAAGCCTCCTGCTACGGGACAAGCCCAAGAAAGAAACCAACAGAACACCACTGGCCATCACCTACAGTCCCCAGCTAAAACCTCTCCAACGCATCATTAGTGATCTTCAGCCCATCCTGGACAATGATCCCTCGCTCTCACAGGCCTTGGGAGGTAGGCCGGTCCTTGCCCACAGACAACCCGCCAACCTGAAGCATATTCTCACCAGCAACTACACACCGCACCATAATAACTCGAACTCAGGAACCAATCCTTGCAACAAACCTCGGTGCCAACTCTGCCCACATATATACACCAGCAACACCATCACAGGACCTAACCAGATCAGCCATACTGTCACTGGTACATTCTCCTGCACATCCACCAACGTAATATATGCCATCATGTGCCAACAATGCCCCACTGCTATATACATCGGCCAAACTGGACAGTCCCTACGTAAAAGAATCAATGGACACAAATCTGATATTAGGAATGGCAACATACAAAAACCTGTAGGGGAACACTTCAATCTTCCTGGACACACAATTGCAGATCTAAAAGTAGCCATCCTGCAGCAAAAAAACTTCAGGACCAGACTTCAAAGAGAAACTGCTGAGCTACAGTTCATCTTTAAGTTTGACACAATCAACTCTGGATTAAACAAAGACTGTGAATGGCTTGCTAACTACAAAAGCAGCTTTTGCTCTCTTGGAATTCACACCTCCAGATCAGCTGCTAGAAGTGGGCCTCATCCTCCTTGATTGGATCCACCTCGTCATCTCCAGCCTGATCCTGGCCTGCATATTTATTCCTGCCTCTGGAAATTTCCACTACATGCATCTGACAAAGTGGGTCTTTGCCCAAGAAAGCTTATGCTCCTACACTTCAGTTAGTCTATAAGGTGCCACAGGACTCCTCGTCGCTTTTGCAGATTCAGACTAACACGGCTACCCCTCTGATACTTAGCTCAGTGCAGCTCTGTATCTCACTGAACAAGCCAAGGATTGCATTTTATAACAGTAGGTCAACCATTCAAGTGACTGTTGATCTTCACCAATTCAAAGCAGTTATTGAACTCCTGGTTCTAACTGTGTTTGCACCCTGAATCATGAACATGTTGTACAGGACTCCTCGCCGCTTTTACAGCTTATGAAGAGCCCACAGTTTGTGCTCATTGAGTCAAAAATGGCATGTATGATCTTGTGTTGATGAGGGCATAGAGCTACTCTGAAACTTGACACACCCAAAAGCAAAAACAACATTCTTGGAAAGCTCAAAAAAAACAGTCATACATAAACACTGACTCAGTCTTGTATTTTCAACCACCTTCTGCCTCTTTCTTCAGTGCTTAATTGCAGTCTATTTGAGCCAAATCAAGCAAAGCACTATGATATTTATGAGATCATGATATTTGAAAACAATATTTCAGCACAGAGAGAATATTAGGTTTACTGTGGAGCAGCTCAATAAATGAGAAACATGGACATTTTTTCATTCTGGAAAAGCATAATGGTCAGATTCTCAACTGTGTCGGTACCTGCCGTGAGATGCTTAGCAGTCCCAGTCAACAGTGTCCATTTTGAACACTCCATCTCATCTTATAAAAATATGCTTAGGGACAACTGATGCTACATAAAATATAACAATCTGCCTGTGCATAATTTGTTTTATACCACAATTACAACAGTTTGCAAAAGGGACTTTGCTAAAAATACTCAGTTTATATTATTTTTGCTTGAAAAATTCTTACACACTATGCAAATATAATTTCAAAATAGTTTGCTTTGACAAGGAAATGAAAATGATTGCATTGATACTGTGTGTTTCTTGTACATGTTACATTGTAATACTTGATTATTAAATTTATGTGTTTTTGTTGTCATGACCATACTATGATTTAGTACATTTCTACCATGACTATTTCATAAATTTTGCCTAATTTTATTCTGATAAAATCATAGCCTGGCTGATTGATTCCTAACCTTTTGCTAATGATTCCTAACATTTTGTTAGTTTTTGTAAATGCTGCTGCACGTTGAGCAGATGTGTTCAGAGAACTATCCACTACGATTCCAATTCCTTTCTTGAGTGATAACTAATTTTGTCCTGATCATTTGGGATTTTTTTCCAATGTGCATTATTTTGCATTTATCTACATTAATTTAATCTGCCATTTTATAGCCTAGTCTTCCACCTCAATGTTTACCCCCTTTTCCAGAGTATTTATAAATATGCTAAACAGCACATATTCCAGTACAGATCCCTCTTCACTGTGAAAATTGAACTTTTATGCCTACCCTTTGTTTCCTGCCAGTTATTGATCCAGAAAAGAACCTTCCCATGAATGCCTTCTTTGCTTAAGAGCATTTGGTGAGAGACCTTACAAATGAGGCATAATGGCACAACAGTTGGATGGAGGAAGCACAAGGAAACAAGCAGACAATACTAGTCATCACATAAGCATGCCATTTTTAAAATACTGTGCAAAACTGGTAAGAGAAGCAAACAACAGGATGAAATATTTCTTTACTAGGATATTACTTTCACAGCTTTTGTAAATATGATAGACACATGTTTAGAAATATGTAGGCATGTGTTTTGAAATCTGAAATCTGTCAGTCTACATACTACATGTCTGAGAAAGTAAAACTGTATTCTAAAATAGGATAATGTTACCTTAAGAGAGTCTCTGCAGTGCTGAAAGAACTTTTTTAACCCTTTATGAGTAATGCTCTGTGTTTCATCATTGCAATGGTGAAGAGTGAAATACTGGGGATGGTGCAGTCCTAGGCTGATGAGCCACTTATCATTCAAACAACGGCAGTCTGCAATCTGAATCTGCCTCCCTGGAAAAAGAGAGACGGAATACCAAGATAGATAACCACAAAATACAAGTCCATATTCATTGTGGAGTTTTTATTAACATGATAGAATATAACTATTGGTAGCTCTCATTTGGAGAACTGAATTTCAGAGTATGTTTGCATTGTGTTTTCACAAACATATCCATCATTACAAGTGCAAATTTAAAAAAGCCATAGTAAAAATGTATTTTTATATCAAATGATTACAAAGCCAGTGCTCTTCCAAAAAAAGGATTCCACCAGATATGCTTCCTGAATGTTTTCTACTGAAGACAAAAAATCTGAAAACATTTGAACTTACATTTAAAATAGGACAGGTTGCACTTCTCTAGTCTGGTTCTCTCTGATCCAGCAACACCTGTGCTCTGGCATAATTTTAATTAGCCAGATGTCCACTTATCATGGCACCTTGTTATTCCTCTGACTTAGCAAAAGAGAGATATGCTAGTGCTAAACTGAACAACATCCCACCGCCACACCTATTTATAAGTCAGCCAAACAAATTGCTTAGATGCTGCCAGCCTTTATTCTGCTCTGTTTGGTGCATAACAGTTACCAAACCACCTGGAAGAATGTTCTTTTGATGTATCCAGTGCCACTGGACATTCACAGGAATTACCAAGTCCACTGTTTCCAAAGAGAGTGTATACACATTAGCCTTTTAGCACAAATGAAGAGTCCCACTTCAATACTACAGCAGTGAGATGAACTTACAGTAAAATCAAGAATAAGTCTATTACATGGTATCAGATTTAAGGGACACTAAGGGTGTGTCTAGACTACATGCCTCCTTCGACGGAGGCATGTAGATTAGCCAGATCGGCAGAGGGAAATGAAGCCGCGATTAAAATAATCGCGGCTTCATTTAAATTTAAATGGCTGCCCCGCT